AAGATGAAAGATAAGAAGTTTATAAAAATCAATTTATGCATCCACACGGTACCAGCTCAAGTTTTTTTTGGCCTGCACAGGAAGATATGTGTTGGGTCCCATCAAATCATGTTGTATGTACCATTGATCCGCCATCTACAACAAATGGTCGCATATATAAATTTCAGAACTTGAATTAAAAAAAATTATTGATAAAAATAAAAAAGATTTATAGGAAAATTTCTAATGCATTATTATTTATATTTGTATGTTATTTTTGCAAATGTGTAATTGGCAAAATTTGGCTACAAAGTTTTTTTATCCACTTGTCTATTTGTTTTTAACAAAAAAAAAAAAAAAAAAGGAAAGAGGGTTGGTTAAATGCTTAAATACCCCCTCCCCTTTCCTTTAGACCATGAGCCATCCCCAGGTAAAAAAAATAAATAAAGTATAAATTTATTATTGCCCTCAAAAACACTTTAACAATATCTTTTTACAACATAAAATTAAGATATGACTAAATTAGTCATAAATAAGTAAGCAATAAATTTTATGCTGAAAACATAAAATTTATTTTTAACTTTACTTAATTTAGAAAAGTTGAAAAATGCAGTTATAAATTTTTTATTAACAGTGATTTTTAGATTGGTCTGAATGAACTCTAGAATGAACAGAGATTAACTCTAAATTACAAACTTTAAAGAAACTTGTTTGCGAGTAGTATGCGAAGAGTTTGTTAAAGCCAAAATGTTAAAAAAACAATGTTTTATTCTGACTGTTAAGAAATTCAATCATAAACAACTGCCCCCTAGTTAAAAAAAAAAAAAAAAAAAAAAAAAATTGTGACCTCATTTAAACTAAATTGTGAGAAATATAGATATATAAGAAATATAATATATATATAAATATAGAAATATATAAAAAAGAATGTTTCGAAAAATAAATAGTAGAAGTAAAAATAACTTTTTTAAAACAAAGATTTTTTTTTTTTAAACAACATATTTGACTTTAATGATAATTTTTTTATATATATTGTTTAATTCAAAGATATTTTATGAAGATTTAAACATAATATAATTAACATAAAGACTTGAAATGTTTTTAATTTGGTTTCAAATTAAATTGATTTACATTGCAGTACTTTACTGATGTAATTTAACTTTTAACATTTAAATATGTATTTTGAGTAAAGTTACATTTAATTATATTACACTTTTCTTTTACGCAACAAAACCTTGTAACAAGGCTAGTATATGGGTATAAACAAGCCTTGTTATGAGTTTTTATTGTGTAACAGTAAAGCATAACATATATTGAATAAAGTTAATTTAACTTTACTTAAGATACATATTTAAATCGTTAAAAAATTAATTAAGCCAGTTACGTTTTTTAAAGTACCGCATTGTAATTAAATTTAATTGAAACCGCGTTAAAAATCATTTTAAATTTAAATTTTAAATATTGTTATAAAAAAAAAAATTATCAACAAAACTTAAATATGTTGCTTGTAAAAAAGTATATATACTCTTTATTTTTAAAAGTTCTTATTTTTTTATTAAAAGTTTCAGAAAACAACATTATTGTCTTGCGTTTGCTTTATAAAATATTGTTATTTTATTTAAATGAGGGGGCAATTGTTTATAATAACTTAGTTTTTTTTTTAACTATAAAATAAACTTTTTCTTTTAATAACTTTAAACAAACTATTGATCGAGTTTATTCATTATCAATAAGACCTCCGTGAACATATTTTATGCTGAAAACTATAACCTTTGTCATAAAAACCATTCATGATTTTGAAATTATAAATTGAACTAATGACAATAAAAAATTAAGATATTTATTTATTCAACAAATAATAAGTGTTGTAATTTTAAAAATAATTATGAAAACACAAAAGAATTTATTTAAATATGTAATTCATAAAGATTGTCTGCAAGCATATCACCTTCACTGTCTATGTTATCAGTATCCCTGCATTTTATCGAATCTATTTGTTCTTAAATTTTAAGCAATATATTTTTCTCTGAATCACCAGCATCAGATTTTCTACGTTTTTTCATATATTTTAAAAATGATTGCTCAATAATATCTTTGTAATCTTCTTTTGATCATAGACTTTTGTTTCCAATAATTACTACACAATCAGCTGGTGTATCGTTGCTCATTGAAAAGTGTTTATCTGCTAAAACATTTGTTACAATGCTAAATGTTCTTTTGACTTCCGAGTTCAATCCTGATATGCACACAATTAAAGAAACTAATAAACATATATTTGGAAACTCCTTAAATTTTATGATTTAAAATCACTTTCCACAAACTTCGTAAGGGATGAGACTCATACTTGGTCATTACTAAAACTTCAAGTTTTAGTATTTTCTCATTCTCGTAAGGCACTATCTCTATCAAAACTAGCATTTGATAATGGTTTTTGAAAATGGTCACTACTACTTTGATCTTTATCTTCCCATATCCAGTATATTGGATCAATGAACTTCATACTCATACTCCTAAGTATAAAATCAAGAGAATAATCTTGAAACCTATTTGATTACATAAAGTTTGAAAAGAATTGCTTTTTTAATTTCATGGTGTTTCTGAATTGTTTTTTCTTGTTCAAAGTTGTTCGTCTCTATTGTTATATTAATGTAAGCACGATTTTTTGCGTGTTTTCTTTTTTTACCGGTTCTTTGAAACGAACCTTCAATTTCATTTTTATCTATCATCAGTAGAATTCATCTACTTGTCCAATTGATTTTATTTTACTATCTATTTCCATTTTAAGTTTGTTTTAAAAATACTTATTGTTATAAGCCAAAATTAAAAAAAAAAAGAAATATGAAATAAAAGGTTCCTAGTACTTAGATAGGGTCTCCTTAATCTGAGCGTACGTACAATTATTAGATGTTTAAAAATAATAATAACTGTACCAACGGTTATTGGTGGTTTAAAAATAATAATAAACAAATTATTAACAATTCATTTTAATAATTTGTTTATTATTATTTAAAATTAATGATAGTGGAAAAACTTTTGCTAGGAAACAACTTTAAAACTAAAAAAAAATCATTTTTCATGAATTTATTTATAAAGTTAACTAAACAAATTCTCTAAAACAACTTTTTCATACAGACTTAATTATGATTTATCTGAAAATGAATATACAAAAGTGTTTAATGTTCTTATAATTGAACCCGTCATTTTGAAAAGGGCACAAGTCCATTTATTCAAACTTTTCAGGATCAACTAAAATAACTTTATTAGAAAAAAAGTCTATGGTGCTAAAGAAACTAAAGATAACAGTAGATATATAAAAGTTATACATAAGTTTTAAGAGTTTTATTTGTTATAAAAAAATAATATATAACACATATATTACTAATTTAAATTTATGGACTTATGTCTTTTTCGGAATGAACGCTTTTTTGTATATAAAAAACCAAAGATTATCAGAATAATAATGATTTATTATTACACAAAAACATTAATTGTTAGGTAATCATCACTTATTTCTTGGAATTCATTGTTTGCCGAAGTTGTTAGCGAAGCAAAAACCTTTGTATAGAAGTTTTGGTACTCTTCTATTGAATATGGAATATATTTTTTCATATTTTTTTTAAAATCTGATATATTTTTTTTTATTGATAGGTTTTTTTCCAACATATGCAGGCGTACTACTTAATTGTAAGGTTGACCGGGTACCCATCCTTTGTAATAGCTGGAAATTATAACTGACTAAGCAATCTATGGATTCACATGTTTTCACTAAACCTGCTGTGGTATTAGAGAATGTGAAATGTGAAATTTTAGACTTTCTTTTCCTTAACATAGTTTAGAAAATTTAAAATTAAAAAAAATGTAAGACGAAGCGTTTTGATTTTATAAAAAAATTTAAATTACTTAAATTATATTTAAATATAATAAAAATAAATATAAATTAAAAACTTTTTAAAAACGGAAAGTGGAAAAAAAATTTTAAACTATCTTTTATATAAAAATATTCCACAAATGTTTTTTACAACAATTAATTACAGCCTAATGTTTTCCGCGTAATCTGTTCTAAAAGACTGTCTATAATAAACTAAATGAAAAAAAGTTTTTGCGTAACGTAAATTGCAATATGCGTTCATGAAATCGTGAATACGTACATAAAATTCAAATAGGAAAACGCTTCTTAACAAGGACTGTATAAGCATATAAGTTTGTTATTTATTTATATGCTGGCATACAATATCCTTACATATTTATACAAACTTAAGTAGGGAAGAGTTGCTGAAATGTTAACACCTAAGGATTAAATATTTTCTAACGAAATATGATTTAACTAATTTTAACTGATTTAAAAAATTTTATGATTTAATACAAACAGACATCTAAAACAAAAATGTCTGCAGCTAAAATATTAAAAAACTTCAGATATTGTTTACATAATGTCATAGATATAAAATAACAGAGTGGAAAAATGAATAGATTAAATAATGACAATGTTTTCAATAAATCTTTACATTTCAAGAGAGGTAATAACTTTTGCTACATTTTGCAAGTTGAGGTTAAAAAAATTACTTTCCTAAATGAAACATATGCTATATGAAACTAAACTATTTAAAACATTATGCATCAGCTATGATAGTGAGATATACCAAAAACTCATCAAAAACCCACCAAAAAGCAAATTTAAAAGCATATAGTTGAAAACCCAGGGCTTTTTCAACCATATTATACAAACAGTAACACAAACAAATTTGTCTTTTTAATTTATTAATTTTTATTCAGTTTAAATAATAAAACATTATTAAACTATTAAACATCTTTTGTAAAATAATTAAACTATTAAACATCTTTTGTAAAAAAATAATTATTTATGTTATAAGAAAAAGCAAAAAAAAAAAAAAACAACAAAAAAAACAACAACTTTATATTAAAACCATAAAACTAAGTTGAAAGTTTTTAAAAGACTTAAATAAATTATACTTATGTCTAATAATAAAATTATTACTTAATTAACTTATGTTTAAGCTTACTCATGATGCGAAAACTTCCTGGGATAAACTGATATGGTACAATTCCACCAGGCCATTTGCTAGATTGATCGACAATAACTGAACGTTTTTGTTGATTTAAAAAATTCTTGAATGAACTTTCTTTTAAAGCAAAGAATTCAGCTGTAATAAGAAAAATATTTTTGATATGAAGGATAAATAAGAATAGTTATTAATTATTATTGTTTATAGATTATTTATGATGTCAAAAAATATTATTTATAATACTGAAAAAAGAAAAATATTTTATTATATAACTAATGATCAATTTCATAAAATTAATAAAAACTACACAAGTTAGTGTGGAGCCATTAAACAGCTTTTTATTTATTTTTTACTTGTATTTAGCTCGCAAACCTTAAGGTTTTTTCAGTTTATTACTTTTTTATATATTTTTTACAAAAATACAAAAAATTTAATTGTATGATATTATGGACAAATGAACAGACTGACCAATGGAGAGAAAAAATTGCTTGGTGTACATCCTGATAAGAAAATCAACTTTTTAGAAATTTGTCCCCCTCCCCTTTGAAATCAAGGCCTCCAATTTTTAGTATGATTTTTATTTTACTGTCTTAATTATATTTATAATATTTTTAGCAATAATTGATTATAAATTATTAAATCAAAAAATGTTTTATTAAATATAAACATGATTATATTTTCAGTTAGATGACTAGGAGTCATCTAACAGTGAAAATCTTAAGTTATTATTCATGCGTTAAATGTTGGTAAAACTCATGCAAACCTTCAAATTTTTTTAAAGATAACTATGCTCAACAATTTCTAGTTTTAACAATTTCTCAAAATTTTCTTAGCTAACTATAAGCTAACTATTATGCTTCTCTTCAAAATCAATTTTTTTTTTTTATTCAGCATTATTTATAACTACAGTTATTATGTTTTTATAAAATATCTACTTTGGGTGCAGTATGAGGTATTTTATGTGTAAAATGAGGTATTTTGATTTTTTTGTTGCTGTTGTTATTCTCAACCACACTGTAGTTGGAAATAAAATAAACTAAATCATGAGTTATAAGAACCTGTAATTAATAAAAAATGTGAAAAATATTCAATTATTTATGCTTGATAATTAATTAGTTTAATATGGTTGATAATTAATTTTAGTTTAAAATATAACAACTTATCTAGAACTATTTAGAACTATAAGATTTACTTACAAGTAGAAAAAAGTTTATACAGGACACAGAGAAAAAATACTTTTGTTTATATTGTGACTGGTAAAAGTCTTATCTAAGAGAAATGGTAACTTTCAACAAGTTGAAGTGGAAGTTTAATATGGAAGTTTTTTTTAAAAATGGATCTAAAAAATGTTTTTTGCAAATCTAAAAAAGTGTTTTACAACCACTATTTAGCGTAGCTAGAGATAAGAACATATTTGATGTAACTCATCCACCAGAACTTTGTTTGCTGATGAAGATTGTGACAATTATTTAAAATGTTGTGTAAGAAACCTGTTATCAGTGTCTGGGTAAGTAACCATACAATAGTTTAGCATGGATATAATGGAGGTGGTTTGGATGGTAAAAAAATGCTAATAAAATGCAGAAGCTTCTGCTTCCCAATAAAACTTTGTAACTTTAACATTAACCTTCATTAGTCAATAAGTATTTTGAGATAAAACTTCATGAAGGTTATTTTAAAGTACTTATTTAAGATTAATTATAAAGATAACAGTGTAAATTAAAGAAACCAGCGTAAATTAAGAAATTATATGTTAAGAAATTGAAGGTAAATTTGAATAAGGGAAATTTTTAGAAAAAAAATTGTTGGATATATTGTTGAGTTAAACATGAAAGCAATACTTTTTTATTTACATTTTTATGTAATAGACATTTTATGTAGTTTTCAGTTTTTACTTTGATTTATAAAATTGAAATTTATGTAAAGATTAATTTCATCCACAATATTTCAATTGGATGGAAAGGTCATATATTCCTTCTAAAATTTTATTTTAAACCACCTCGAAGTTTTCTCAAACAAAATTATGATGCCATTGCCAAACCATGACAACTTCTGAATCTAAAGTGAATCATGGAAAACTTCTGAGAAGAGTAGTAAAAAATACTCATTAGAATTAGGATTAGAGTTTAAATGACATTAATTTATATAAATAAGTAATAAAAAAAACCTCAAAATTTGTGAAAGCTTATATTGTAAGCTTATAAGCTTATATTTTTTTCATATTATACTAAGTATTATATTTTTGTAAGTTTTAATAAAACTTACATTACAAAAATAAAAAACTTTTATATTTTTGTAATATTTTCATATTATACTAAGTCTTATTTTTTGAAAGCTTATATTTTTTTCATATTAAACTTTCATATTAAATCTTGTTTATTATGTCTTGTGCATGATAAATAATATATAATATATAATTCTTATTATTTTGATATTTCATAAATCTATCTTGATATATCATAAATCTAAATTGTTAATACTCACATGTAAAGCACTTTGTAAGCACCAAAATATATATTTTTTAAATAATATTTTGCAATATTTCTCTAAAATATTGTAAAAAGTTCATAAAGCTGCTCTAATTCCCTAAAAAGTAGATTTTCTTGTTAAGGTGTACATCAAAAATTTTGTTTTTTATATGTTTGTTAATCTTTAACATCATGTAATAACATTTTTCGAAGTAATTAAACCTTTAGACTAAACGTACTACATTTGACTAGACAACAGTCGCGAAGACTACTCTTTTTTGTTTCTTTTTGTTTCTTTTTTTTTTTGCTTGTTTTTATAATCGCTGTTCTAAATATAAATTTATCTTTTTGAACCTCTCCACTATAAAAACATTTAATAACAAGGTTGCTGTGCTGAGAAACAAGTTTCACTTGTGGGGGATTAAACTTGACACTTAGCGCCAACATAACCGCTTCATCACTACTGCTGGGACTTTAAATGCCAAACGGTTTAAAATTTAAAGTTCTAACATGTTTTAAAGTTTCAGTAAGAACTGAGGTGGTCTATACATAGACCACCTTAGTTCTTAATGAAACTTTTTGCTTCTCAGAAAAATAATGTTTTCATTAAATAAAAGTTATGTTTATTTGAAATTGAAAATGCTCCCGTTCATTTTTTTTTCTTGTTCCCGAGATGAAAATTTGTTGTTTATACAACATATAATATGTACACCTAAATTTGGTTGTATATACAACATTTGTTTTTTAAAGACAATTTCTAAAAGACTCTTTATAGGAATGAATAAAAAATATTATTTTAATAAATATTATTTTAATATTATCAAAATTTTATTATTAACAAAAATGCTATTAAAAATAATTTGTCAGATGTGGGATTTGAACCCACGCCCACATTCGTGGACCAGAATGCTCCTATTCTATAGGAAGGTTAAACCTTGAGTCTGGCGCCTTAGACCGCTCGGCCAACCTGACATATCTACAGAAGAAACTTAAGTATATATATTGTAATTAAAATATTTAAATAATGTTTTACGTATACTCGAACAAAATTCGTCATTTTTATTGCTTATACATAATAAATTCTTATTATCTAAACTTTAAATTAATGTTAAAACTTAAAAGATTACACTGAAAGCGTTAAAATCTTTTTAGTGTTTTAAGTTAAAAAATTAAAACAGTGTTTTCCATTGAAAAACACTATTTTTCATTTCAATCAATTTTCCAGAAATTTAAGTAGAAAAAATAAATAATAAATAGAGCTGAGTAACGTCATCAACTGAAGGTGACTGTGACAACGATGAAAAAATGAAAAATCAAATGGCAAAGTTTTTTAATAGTATCGAAGACTGAATGGGGTTTCTTGATGTCCATTATACAGGTGTCTAATTACTTCTTGGTCTACCGGAATTTCAAGCCATCATGGCCCCTGTTGGTTTCCCAATATGTGGCCATGAAGGCCACATATTGGGAAACTAATTTTCCGTTATTTAAGCAATGAAACTCGAAAAAAAAAAATTGTTGACGTCAACTTTAATTGACTTACCCCGCCCTCCCTCATGTCAACAATTGTCAAAAAATTTCATGCCCCCTTCGCCCTATTTTGTTGACGTAATTAATGGACAACCCTGAGAACGGTTTTGTTAAAAAGCGCTACTACTTTTTCTGTATTGTTTTTTAAATGTATTTTCTTATGTAAAAGGTTTCTTATTACACAAAGTTATTATTGCATCGCACGTTACTTAAGGGGGAAAACCTCTCAAAAAAAATTTTTTCATTCATTATTTTTTCCAGATATTTTAAAAGTTAATTTATTAAGAAATCAAACGTAAAAACCATATTCGAAAATCGCTATTTTTTATATCAATAAATGATATTTTTGTACAACTACCTGAGTTCAAAATTACCTAGCAACGCCCCTAGTTACAGAAAAACTGTCAATAAAACACATCTAGTATAGCTTTTTTTCTGTTTTTTTTTTATTTTGCAGTTTAGTTTAAAATGCTTCCTATTATCTCTAAAGCCATACTTTAAAACCACATATTTGACTTATAGTGCTAAAATTAATCATCCTTTCAAGCTTCTACACAATCAACTCAAGCTTTCTATATAATTAAAGAAAATGGACAAGCCTAAAACAGAATATAATAGCGATAGAGTCAAATTTTCTACTAAACGTCTTCGAAAACGTAAATGTACGTTTTCTGGTTTAAGAAAGCAAGAAAAATGTGTAAATATTGGTGTAAATAATGTTAATAGTAATGATGTAAATATGGTAGACTCTGTAAATATTGAAAGTGAAAGTGTATTTAAAAGTGCATCAAAAAAAAAAGTAAAGCAAGTAATGGTTCCAAATGGAAACTCAAAATGTGTCAGTGGCTACAGATTTATTGATTTAGAAATTCTTGCTTCCATTTTTGATAAACTTGGGTGTCCAGAATGTTTGCGACCATCACAGTTGTCGTTAAGCGAAAATAAAAAGTCTTGCAAAGGATATGCATCAAATTTATCATTAAACTGTGTTTGTGGTTTCAAGTTAGGCTTTGACACATCAAAAAATGTACCAGGGTTTGATATTAACAAAAGATTAGTGTATGCCATGAGAACACTTGGTCAAGGCCAAGATGGTCTACATCGGTTTACCACTCTTATGAATATCGCAAAAGGATTATGCAATAAAAACTATAATGTTATTGTTCAAAAATTGGCAACTGCAGCACAAACTGTTGCTATTGAAACAATGAATGAAGCTGTACAAGAACTCAGAGAAGGCAAATATCCTAATGAGATCTTAGATACTGGAGTTTCTGTTGATGGAACACGGCAAAAAAGAGGATTTAATTCACACAATGGGGTGACGGCAGCATTATCAATTATTAATGGGAAGGTTTTAGATGTTGATGCATTATCTAGAAAGTGTAAAATATGTGACAAAAATCAAGATGTTGTTAATTCAAAGCAGCAGCCAACAGCAAAAAAATCACACATTTGCAATAAAAACTATGAAGGATCAGCCGGTGGAATGGAAACAGTTGGGGCAATAAAGATATTTAATCGCTCTTTGCAAAAATTTAATTTACAATACGCAGAATACTTGGGTGGTGGTGATAGCAAAAGCTACACTTCTGTCAAAAACACATACAAGGGTATTGAAGTAATTAAACTAAATTGTGTCGGACATTTTTAAAAGCGCATTTGACCTCGTTGTAGACAATTAAAAAAACAAGTCAAGGGTTTAAATGGTAAAGGCGGTTTAACAAACGCTATAATTGATTGGTTGCAAAATTATTTTGGTATTTGCATTAGACGAAATTGTGGCAACCTTGAAGGTATGAGATCTTCAGCTTTAGGTAGCTTATTTCATGTAGCATCTTCAAGCAAAAATAATTGGCATTACCCACATTGTCCCACAGGAAAAGATAGTTGGTGTAAATAGAATCGAGATAAAGCTAATGGAACCAAAGAGTAAAAACTCGGACCAGGTCTTCCTATTGAAATTGTACACAAGTTAAAGCCCATTTATGTAGAACTAACATCAGATGCTTATTTAAATCGTTTGCTTCATGGAAGAACACAGAATCAAAATATAAGTTTTAATGCAATGATATAGTTCAGAATACCAAAGTATGTTTGCTTACGCAATTCAAATTTGGACTCTATGATGCTATTGGTGTCTTTAATATAGAATTAAAGTCTAGTATACTTATATTTGAAAGACTTAATATGATACCAGGGCAACATACTGTTTCTGGTTGCAACTACCAGAACTAGAAAAGAGTTACGATGTCAGAGTATAAAAATCAAGACACCATCAAAAAACAAAGGAAGATTTTAAGAAACTGCAAGCATAAAAAATTTGACAAAGTTGAACAGAAAGAAGGGAATTTGTATGTACTAAATTTTTATATCTTTGTTATTATATCATATTTTTTATCACAAATTCAACTTATTTGGCATTTTTCTCAGAACGCGTGTTTTTAATCTCCCGGCAGAAGTATTTTGAGAACCGCTTGACCGATTTTAATGAAATTTTCAGGGAGTATTCCTCTCATAAGGATGAATGCAATGAGCAGACAGCTTTTAAAAACGTTTTTTAAACTAAAGAAATTAAAAAAAAACATCTATCATTTCTGTGCTTAAAATTTTTGCCAAAATTAAACAGGCCTACCACCTGACAGAAAAGTTATTTTCAAAAACTGTCTGCTTATTGCATAGATCTATCTTTTAGAAAAAAATCAGCTCAAAGTATTATTCTATTTGACTGCAATCTTTGCCAGGGTGAAGAGACTATTTTGACATTTTCTCTTAGTAACCGTGTTGCCATGGCAACGGAGTGTCATTTTATATGATAGATCTTCTTAACATTTAGTATACTTTTATTTGGAGCATGTAATAACTTTATTAATGCTTTACTTTAGAAAATAATTTTTTGAGGGGTTTTCTCCCTTAATACTCAAAAACACAGTGTTCATTGAAGAATTTAGTAATATTTTTACTTGTAATATAGCGATTAGAGTAGGCTTTAAAACATCTTATTTTAAGCTATTGATGCAGTTATCAAATGCAGATACTATATTTCCACATTGATGAAAATCAATATCAGGTTTTCTATTTGAAAAATTCAAAATTAACTTAATTACAAAGTTTGCAAAACCTTGTGTGTAAAGCAACTCAATATGGGGCTTTCCATTAATTACGTCAACAAGTTTTTTGAAATTTCTACTTTCTCCCTCCCCCTTGTCAACAATTTGTCAAATTTCCAGAGGCCCCCCATAAAAATACATCAATTTTTGATTACCCCCGCAAATTTTCCGTTATTTAAGCAATTAAAATCAAAAAAAAAAAAAAAAAATTGTTGACGACAACTTTAATTGACTCCCCCTCCCCCTAGTCAACAATTGTCAAAAAAAGTTCAGACCCCCTCCCCCCCCTATTTTGTTACGGTGGTAACGCCCTCTAAATTTACCCAAAATTTGTAAAAATTATTTTCACTTATTTATGCATTTAAATGTATGCAGAATTAAAAATTATTTGTTAAATATACTGATTTTTATCAATTAGGCCTTCAAATTTTGTATTTTCCTAAGGTAACTCAAAATTTATACCCTAACAACGCCCATAGCAACGGTGTAGCACCTCAATAAAATTTTTTATAACTGATGTGTATTTTTAAATAGCTACAGTAAAATGCTTGGTTTGGCTTCTTTACTCATCCAGCTAGCGAAAACAGTCTGGTTCATTTAGCTAAATTACAGTTTTCTGTTATTCTGAAGCATTTGAAGTTGTCAACTTTCTTAATATTTTTTTAAAAAATGAGTTTAGCCTGTAGAATAAAATCAAGAACAATAATTAAAAAAAAGAAAAGAGGTTTCTTAGGGAAGAAATTTAACTGTCTCGACAAAGAAAATACTGAAATAAGGTTGAATGATAACCCTGCTGTAACAATTTTGACTGATTCAAATACTACAACTGTCAACAATAACTCTGTAAATAACGAATCTGAGTTAAATTTATTTTCTGCATCTGTATCTGCAAAAA